TTAATTAATGTAACATACAGCTTAGAAGCGTCCCAGACATCGCAGGCCATCAATGAGGGTGATTCATTCATTCATCTAAATAGCGACCGTCTTCGGCACTTACTTGTGCTCACAGTTGGATCTGCAATGGGCGAAGGGTTAAATGAATTTATGATAATTTAATCATTAAGACACTTTGTACACTTGAGAAATAAAGTGACCAGTGAATACTTAGTGATTCAGATGTAAGTTGTTGAAATATAATTTGAATTTATGGTCTTTCGGTTATCTGCGTTCACATCAAACTTGGTCGAAGTGTTACACTGCTTCCGGTTAGCCACGTTTTCCTGGCCGTAGGCTTTGAACCTATGCCTCTTTTTTTATTGAGCCCTACCTACGATACATATACCATCAGATTAAATTTGACCCAGATGGACCACAATATGCATATTTTAATACAAATCTTTATTATCGCCATCAAAATAGATTCCTGAGCCAATACGAGCAAGCCAACGTTTAATCCAATTTTCCATGCACTTGTTGTACATCCTTCTGGGATGGCCTTCAGTTCTTTCAGCGTTTTGGTTTTTTTTAGTTTCGGCTCATTTTTGGACCGTCATTCACTAGATTGTTGGACGGTTTCGATTATCGGATCAGCAATGATGCGTTTGATGAATGTCCTCAACTAAGTTATCAATCACTTATTTTGTGACGTCTATTCGGTGTCTTTTGGTACGAGTCTAGTAGTGACACGCGTTATACCAAAACATTAACCAAAATGTATTGAGGCGATCTATAAAAGATTGTGAGATTCTGTGCTATCTGATGCTAACACGACGGTATTCAAGCGCTGTTTATTTAACTTGTTCGTTGTTATCGTCATTATCAGAGGTGGATGGATGACTCGCATGAGCCAAGTTTTCAAATACTTGTGTTCGTGATCAAGTAGACTTCTTCAAAGACTTCTACATAATTTTCAGCGATTCCATAGCCGTGATTACAATAGAAACACAAAATTTCAATCAAACTCAAGTTAAATAAATATTTACAAATACAAGGTGGTTTTTAGTAAAGTAACTAAAAATTATGTAAGTGTATCTGTAAATATGTATACCGTTTGCAATTTATTTAAGACACTAACGTTCAAATTCAATCAATTTTATAGCTAAAAGTTCTCCAATTTGTTTCTTTGTTCTTCTGCCAAAAGCGATATTTTAATTCCATAAATTTTGCAGTCACTAATACACATATACGCACATATCTGCATATGTACATATGTAAACACATGCAACTATATAAGCATAAAGTAATAAACAAATTGAATTTGAATGCAACGCCAATAAACAGATGCCAAGGCAATCAATTTTTTGTATATTTATCCTAATTTGCTCCATTTATTTATTTATTGCAGCGCTCAGAAATATTTCAATGCATATGTTTATAACTAGAAAGTATTTCTCGTTCCTTAGACATATACCTACACATACCATAAAGGTACAGTATGACATCAAGTGATCACCTCATCAAAAAATGTGTGAGTCCTTACGATGTCTTGACCTCTGAGAATCAAATTCTACGAAGTATATATTGTAAAATTCACACTATCTTTAAGACATATAATTTTGTTATTACAAATTAATATTATATATATAAAATATATTTAGATATAATTTTTTTTTTTTTGTTATTCCAGTACAAATTTTACCGAAAGTTAAGCTTGTGCAGTAGAGGGTGTGTATATAAGCAAATGGGTTACTCTGATGCCACGAAAATGAACTCCTCAAACATACATGAATAGAGGGTTCATTATAAAACAATAGAGAACAACATTTTAGTCAAAACTTTGGTAGCTTTTGTACGATTGTTGTGGTATAATTTACTTCACATTCATAAGCTTTTCTGTTACCTCCGATTTGAAGCTAACGTTATTGAATTCCTCTTATTTTTCATCTTATTTAACTTTGTAATAGCCTATGCGTTCCTGACCGAATCTAAAATAAAGCGTTAAACACTAAGAGAAACCACCGTTTCTCACGACAGTCGGATCTACGTTACCGGAACGAACCCGGAATTTTATCCCGCTAAGAACTGTCAACGCGGCTGCATTTCCCCAAACTATTGTATATCAGGCATGTTTTTTGTCACTACAACAACAACCACGTCGAAACCAAGGAGTTGGTTGCCTACTCGACATAATTTATTGTTTGCAGATGAGGCATTTTTTTGCTTGGCTACACCCCGTCGATACTACATTGAATATTTAAAATCTGAGGACGTCCAATTTCGTTCAAAACTCCATTTGGCATGATGAAAGTCTTATAATTTTGTGTCAGAGGCATTTTGTGACACCGTTCGTGCGACATTAATGATTTTAATGATGTCAATAGTGACTTTGGTTCTAACAGAATAATTTCAGGAGAGCGAATATTGGCCATAAGTCTTGGGATTTTACTTAAGTATGATTTTTTGAATATTGTAGTAATTGGGACCATAAGCCAGCATTGACTTATTCTTTTTGTATAATCATACACGTACGTATACCTGATCATTACTAGGCGCTTAGCTGGATCTATGAAGCAGTGCCATATATATATGATCACTCGGATTTGTAACAGTTTCTACCTTAACACAATCTCTGTATATACAAACAATATAAAAATCAATTCCATTACGTACTCTGAGCCTATTACAAATCTTACATAAAAGTGATCAATTTGCGGACACACTGTAAATTTGCATAGAAAAAGAACTAAAATAAGTGATTGTTAGACACAGCGGCGCCCTAGTGGCGTTGATGTATGGTACATGGGTATCTATGTTTGACACGATCGGGGTGATCGTTGCTATTTGGGCAAATGACGAAAATATTCATATATATGTATGTACGACATGCCTAAGTGTTGACGAGTTGTTTGGCGGATGTTAGTTGCCAATTCCTTTTTGTTAGGGCACAAAACGGTGCAAATCGGGCTAAACTGAATATGTGGAATATGGCTAAAAACAAAGATGTTTATACGCTTGTATGTACGTATGTTTATCTACATCTATGTAGATATGTATGTATGCATACACTTGTAAAACAATATACTTTTGTGAATGTGCACCGACAAGTTCAGCATTCAGTTGTTCGGGATTTTTAGTGCAACCAACATCATATTGCTTGGAGGATTGAAGTTCGAAAGCAATTTGAATGAAATTAAATAATTATTAAGATTAATTGAAGTTGCAGTTAATTCTAATCTCGTGATTACTCTCGCGTGTGACTTTAACGGTAATAGAATTTAGTGAATTATATTATATGTGTTTAAAAAGTTTGAAAATTAAATATTGTATTTAAATATGTGCATGTGTGAAAAATATTTAAATAATAAATAATCATTTGTGAAAAAAAAATGTTAAGTGCCACCAAATATTTAGTGGCATAACTTTGAATTTTTTCTGTCTTGTGGCGCCTTTCAAAGTGATTGAAACTAAAAAAAAAAATTGAAAATTATGTTCACGTACAAATATTTGAAAATAAATCAATGCGTGCCTTCATATTTTTAAAGCACTTTATTACCTTTTTATTGCCCCGGAATATTTGTGCATGAAAATAGACCACTTTGTGGCTCGAATTCTATATGATTGCCAGCAAATAGTTCGTGCATAATACAAAATACATACATATATACATATGTATGTACGTATGTACGTATATCAATATATGCATAAAAATACATAACTCATTAAAGGGCGAAAATAAATGAATACTAGTACATAACACAAATTTGGTTAAAATTTTGCACTTGAAGGAAAAATAAAAAGAATTACAATGTATTGTAGTTCAAAATAAAATCTTAACCAAAAACAACAATTTGTATAATTACAAAATAAAAGTAAAATATACAATGCTAAAGTAATAAAAGTTAAATGCCATAATTTCCTTTGATGAAGCAATAAATTTCTGATATTTACTAATTTCTAATATTTTCTAATTTATTGCCTTTATCGCTACTTTTGAAAGCGAGTTTCTTTGTGTTTGTGCCAAAAAGAATGCTGTCTCATTTCCGGCATTTCTACACAGAATTTGTAGTCACAATATTCCGCACGTTTTTCATATTATGAACAGACAAACATTTTAGTCAAAATAGGCCAATCTGCAAAAATATAATATGTTTAACTATTTAAACAAGTATTTTTGAGTATGACTGTGTTAGTAGAAATACAAATGCTTCCGCTGCTTGTTAAAAAGGCAATATCGAACAGAATTGAAAGTATAGGAACACATTCAGAAATAAACTCAACGGCCTTCAAATTAAAGTTATCAAAATCTCTTTTCATAAGTAATATTTTTTTTGTTTGCAGTCATGTATCCTAA